GTACATCATTGCGTGTTTTATCTTCTTGCTTCTGTGTTGGTTCAGGGTCTTGAAGTGGGTAGAATGTAATGTTCTTATTGGCTTTTGATTGCTGGTTTTTGACTTTTTGATGTGTAGGGCCTCGCTGATGTCGTGTCTCCTGTTGTCATTGTATCTGTCGATAATTTCTGTGTTGCTTGTTAAGCTTTCTCTTGTGATGGTCTGGTTGTGTGAGGAGATTATATGCTCCTTGATGGAGCCCTTTTGCTTATGTATTGTTAATCGCCTAGAGAATGACGTTGTTGTCTTGCCTATATACTGAGATCTTTGTGGCTGACAGTCCCCAAGTGGGCAGGTGAAGGCATAGACGACGTTGGTTTCTTTCAAGGCATTCTCTTTGATCAACAGCCAATAAACACATATTTACATTCTACTCACTTCAAAACCCCGAAACAACAGACCACTGTTTAATTCATATATATGTATGAAATACAAACAGACCACTGTTTAATTCCCTTTGACTCTCAATATTATTTGTTATATATTCACTTAACTCTGTGGGATTTTTTTCCCTAATATACTGTGCCCTGAACAGTTCATTCCCTTTGTATTATTTTACTGTCACTTTCCATTACATCGTCTGACCTTATCAATCCTGAAATTGTACACTTTCCGCCACCATTACCAACTTCTTTACATGTATACACTTTCTGTTTCATGTGACTGCCAGAATGTCAGAACGGACAAGTTCTGTATAATATAGACTGCAGATATGTAGAGAGCTACAAACATATTTTAAATATAAATTTTCTCGTAAAATCTTCATTATTCATATCTTTGACATGATGTTTTGCAGGCATGTCGTGGAGAGCGTCTGGACACTGGCGTGACACTGGAACGCTCTCGACCTACTGATGAGACTGACTGCGGTTACTTGTCCTACAGAATTCCGGTAGCGGCTGATTTCCTAATCTGCTGGTCCACCATACCAGGTATCGTATGTATAATTGTACAGAACAGTTATCCCTGAGGTCATGAGAGCTTTGTACCTAGATGCCTTTAATATATCCAAAATATATAATGTGTGATACACTAGCCAATATGCTGTTGGGCAGTGTGTGAGAGAGTGTGTGTGAAAACAGTGGAAGTTGGGTTTGAACCAGGTGCCAGGAAGGAGGCCTGGCTACCGGTTCTTAACTGTTTGCCTTTGTTCACACGGCAATAATTGGGGACCTGGTGTAAACAGATCTCTGGATTGTGGTCCATTGAAAACTGATAAGTTAAAGGTTAAGATAAACTATCGGGGAGGGAAGAGCTGTTAGCCTGTTAACAGGAGTCATAAATTTTCTGCACATGTTCCCTCGTGTATAAAAACTAAAAAATAATAAATATTTTCTGATACTCAAGAGGCAGCTCTTCCCTTCAGTTGTCTATGATGATTGAATAAATGCATGATATCAGTTAGCGGGTGCTCTGTGCTTAGAAAGGTGGGCATACTGGAAGACAGTAAGAATGAGACAAAAGGGAGTTTAAAATGGAACCTAAGAATAAGATTTAAGGATAAAGTGAGAAAGAATGTGGCTATAAATAATGGGAAATTGTGTATAAAGATAAGAAAACTTAGCCAAGCTTCTCAAATTACCGGGGAAATGTTTGTGAGGAGCACTTCATTAGGCCTATTCTATGAATGTGAATTTAACTTTTCTCAAACTATGATTAATTTCAGGTCATTATTCGTGGCGCAACATCTCTAGTGGTTCCTGGTTCATACAGTCGTTGGTTCATGTCTTGGGCAAGGAATACACCTATGAAGATTTGCTGTCCATGATGATAAATGTCAATAGATATATGATTATTAACTACGAATCCCACTGCCCTTGTGAGTATTTCCTTTAAATTGAGTATATACGCTGGAATAGGAATATGCCTAATTCATTTATACCAATTTATGATTTATAGCAATTTTCCATAAGAATACGGTAATTATCTGTACAACAGTCAAATAAAAATCAATATGTGGTTTGATGCAGGTAAAGGTTAAATTTCTGAGCGTAGCCCACTCGATAATTTCCTCAAGTAAGCTTCAACCTCCCCAGAGGGCATCGTGGAAGCCCAATTGAGAGTCAAACCTTCTTCCAACACTAGTTTAGCAGGAATCTTTCCTAAACACCCTTGCTCCAGCCTTATAGAAAATTCCATAAGGTTCCTTACTCATCTTTAAGGATGAGTAAGGATCTTGGCCGAGTTTGCCAACTGTTGAACACTTTTATAATACTTTCTTTGTAATTTTTCTTAACTACAAAATTTTCTTTGTATCTTCCTAAAATTTGTATTAGCTAATTATCTAATACCCAAGCAGTTTTACATTTGCATTATAGCTAAATGTCATTTGATGTATGTACATAGCCACATAGGCAAAATATAAAAATTTTGATTGCTAAACATGTTTCATATGCAGTGAATGTTATATGATAAACATATTTTACAATCGCTACCAGACATCTTGAGGTTATCTTGAGATGATTACGGGGCTTAGCGTCCCAGCGGCCCGGTCCTTGACCAATCCTCCTTTTTGTTACAACCCTCCCCCCCCCAGGAAGCAGCCTGTAGCAGCTGTCTAATTCCCAGGTACCTATTTACTGATATGTGAACAGTAGCATCAGGGTGAAAGAAACTCTGCCCATTTGGTATCGAACCCGGAACCTCAGGACTACGAATGTGAAGCGCTGTCCACTCAGCTGTCAGGCCCCTTGATTTGTCAAAGACATGATTTGTCTTTTTGAAAGATATCATACTGCAGATTCTTTATAGGAGACTGAATATAGATAGGTCAATAAAAAGCTTTATTAAATCTCTTGTGAGGTAGCAAATTGACTAGTCACATAATTAAAGATATTCAGGGAATCATGAAAGACCTACGTGAGCTAAAAATGAACCAGTATCATTATAAACTTTAGCAACGGTTGTGAGTCCAACCTTGTTATACCTTATAGTAAGTTGAGGAACAGCAGCTGCCTGTTCTGGACAGAAATCTTCACAATTTGAGAATGTAATGTTTTTTAAATACAGAGCAATTAGTCATATTCATGAGGAAATCTTCCCATTCAATCTTTGTACAGGAGCAGTTCTAATCTTTTCAGTTATCGATAGATTGTGTCCGGATGGTATCATACCAGCCCTTGTATAAGGTACTGTACTAATATGATTGTCAGTACAGTACAGTCCTTGATATTCCTTAGATTGTTATGTTGCTCAGTTTGTGTTCCCAAGTGATCACGATGACACCAATCAAAATAATTATATTTTGATCAGAATGGTTTTCATATTAGGAAATATAACTGATTTTAAAAATACTTTTCTCCCATACTCATATTGATGAGTTTACTTTTCACTTTACTTTAAATTTCTTTCATCCTAAACCTGCTCCCAACACTATTGAGCACACTGAGCTCTGCCCTCTCTCCATATCTTAACTCAAAACTCTTACCAATACCTTTCGTCTCTCTATATAAAGCTCGCCTTTCGACAAACTAACACTCTTCGTAGCACTCTAGTTCACACTGCTCCTCCTGCTTCTAATGCTGCTGGTGTGCACTCTATTTTCTGTTCGTCTTGTTCTCTCGAATACTTTGGTGAAACGTACACTAAATTACAGACTTAAGGAACACAAAAGAAGTGTTAAGTCTGCAGACACGAACAATTCTTTCTTCTGTCATGTTAGGGATTCTAATCATCCTATTGATTGAGCTTCCTCTAAAATAATCTTTCCTCCCTCTACTCTACACAGACACCGTCTTGTCGAATTGGCTCTAATACACAGCCCGCCCAACATGAACCTGAGTCCTGGCTTTGTTGCTGTTGACTTTTTCCCTTTCTCAGTATATTCTCAAATGTTCAAAACTTTCTAACAAACGTGACTTAACATAAGCCTACCCTTCCTTTTATGTCTCTTTGTCTTTATCTTGTTTCTCTTAGGATCCCTTTTTTATTCCTATTATTACACCTAATCTTCCGTATCATTTACCTTGCTCTTATCTTCTAAGATTTCCACCTCCTCACCTATCTCTTGCCTACTTAATGCCCTTGCCTCCCTCATCTTAAGAGGTCCCGACCTCTCCGTAGGGTGCAGTCGCACCTCCACAGATCTCCAGTATCAGCTATTGATACTGGCTCCAAACGGCCACCACTTACAAGCTATTCATGCCCATACCATCTTTTGGGTGGCTTAATCTTCATCAATCAGTCAATCTCGTCTAATCACTATCGACTTCATTATGGTCCAGGACGGACCGAAACGTCGTCATCTCGTCAATTTCTAGTGTGTGGTCAACTGTATAATAAATAATAATAATAATAATAATAATAATATTTTATTTAGGAAAAGTACATACATAGATGCATAGATAGGTAGAGCTAGTACATACAATACCTAAAGCCACTAGTACGCATAGCGTTTTGGGCAAGGTGAGATGGGGGAAAAACACTTAGACTAAAACTTAATTGCTTAAAGTATAAATTGCGTTGAAAAAAAATATAAAATAAAAGATAAAAAGGGGGGAACATGGTAGAAAATAGTCAATATACAAGTTGGTCAACAAACAGCATTTTTTAAAAATAGTACGACATGGGTTGACATTTAGGGGTAAGGTAGGTTACATGGAGTTAATTAGGTAGTACTTAGTTTTCATCTTAAACTGGTTGAGAGAGGTACAGCCTTTGACATGATTGGGAAGGTCATTCCACATCCTGGGTCCCTTGATTTGTAGAGCATTTCTAGTTTGATTAAGTCGTACTCTTAGAATATCAAATAGGTATTTGTTTCTGGTGTGGTGCTCATGGGTTCTGTTACAACCTTCTAAGAAGCTTTTAAGCTCAGGATTGACATTACAATTCAGAGTTTTAAATATATAGAGTACACATGAGAAGATGTGCAGTGACTTAATATTTAACATTCAGAGATTTGAGTAAAGGTACCGAGTGCTATACTGCTGCCGAGCATCAGAAACAAATACCTACTTGATATTCTAAGAGTACGACTTAATCAAACTAGAAATGCTTTACAAATCAAGGGACCCAGAATGTGGAATGACCTTCCCAATTATGTCAAAGACTGTACCTCTTCCAACAAGTCAAAGATAAAAATTAAGTACTACCTAATTAAGTCCATGTAACCTACCTCACCCCTAAATGTCAACCAAGTCTACTATTTTAAACAATGCAGTTTGTTGACCAAATTGTATATTTGCTATTTTTCTGCCATGTTCCCCCCCCCCTTTGTTTTTTTTTTATTTTCTCAACACAATTTATACTTTAATCTCAATTAGTATTAAGTTTTAGTCGTAGTGTTCATCCTGCCCGAAACGCTTTGCGTAATAGTGACTTTAGGCATTGTATGTACTTGCTCTATCTATAAATCCTTCAATGTTTTGCATCTCACCTGGTAGGTATGTACTTACCTGAATAAATATTTGATTTGATTTGATTACATAATAATCATAATAATAATCGTAATAATAATCATAATAATAATCATAATAATTACATAATTATTACGTACATAATAAATTATAATCTGCAGCAGAAAATTCACATAGGTATGCCAGAAGATGTTTATAAAATTTGGGCAAATTAGATGTGCCCAAATTCTCTATTTGGACACGAGCTCAAAAACTATTTGCCACCCCCGCCCTAGGCCACCTATTAACCTTCCCCAGAGTGCAACCCCACAACAATTACCTAACTCCTTGGAACCTATTTTACTTCTAGAGTGAGTAGTTTTATCAGGTGAAAGGAAACGTGGCCAAATTTATTCTGTCTTGTCTGGGAATTGAACCCTGGTCCCTTGGTTCTGAGTCGAGAAAATAGACCACTGTGCTAGAGGTCTGTGCGAGGAGTTGATACTTGCAAACTTCAAAATTGCGTTTAATGAAATATATGAAATGGGAAACATTAGTGAAACTATTGATGACATTCATGGGACGGAAATTCGAATATACAGTAGTTGTGTTCTGTCCATATGTAATAAAAAAAACTCTTCAACAATATTGGAAAGGTAGTCATGCTTCAAATGACTTCCAAACATTAAAAAGCAGGAGCAATGATTTGATTTTTCGAACACAGACAAATTCACAACAAGAATCGACAACGTTGTCACGGAGTTGACAACGTTGTTCTTATCAACTCATTGCCGTATGGTATTGTCGACATATACAATATCATATACATATACAATATCATATACATATACAATATATATTCACATATACTATACACACGACCTAATCCCCTTTCAAAATTTGATGTTTTCATAATTTCTTCCCCTCACTACAGGCAAACTTTAATTAATAAAACAATGAAGTTTATAATTATAAACTATATTAATAATTATACAATTTCTCACAATAACTGAAAAAATGTTTTATGATATAAAAATAGTGTTTTATCATTTTATGCACAGTTGGAAAGGGACCTAAATACAGTGCAAAGTTTTAGGGATAATGTGACTGCCGGATTAACGTAAAATAACATTTGAAATATGACATTATATTTATCAAAGGTATTTTAATATTTAAAGGGAAAATTTAAAGTGAAAGCATCATCTTGCTTCCTAATTGTTAATTCTGCAAATCACATCAGATTGTGTTGATTCATTGTATTTCTTTTATTTTAAAACAATGTGTAATTATTTTGTTTTACGTTTATTTCTGCAGCTAATCACCACATGCATGGAATGAAACAGACAGCCAGTATTGTCGCTACTCTGATGCGCAAGGTATACCTTACACCTAAATACTGACAACATGATGAGTGAAGAAACTCAACATGATCAGTCAGGCTTGCACTGGAGGCACCAATAACCTTGTAAGAACACGTTCAAATTTCTGAACGTGCAGATCCTCATGTATCCTTGTTGTCTGAGATAGATAAGTTCTTGTGTTGGCCAGTAAAACTCAAGAAGAAACCCTGTAAATTCTCTAGAGAAAGGAAAGCAAAAGAAAACAAGCCACTGTGGAACTTCCATCGGAGTTCGATGATGTCCCACTAGAATAGCCAGTCAAGTGGGACATCAATTAGTCTGTAAAGTCTGGCTAATAACAAGGCAAAGTCTACATTACTGTAAAACTGTATTTATATCCAGTTATTGTTGCTAATTGCTCAGTGAAAATTATACTTTTAAATAAACAAATTAAGTTGTGTAAATTAGTGTGTTCTTCTGGTAGTGAGTGTTCTTCAAGGATAAATCTAAGCATTAAATTTGAATAATTGTCTTTAATAATATCTAATATAATTGTTGTAAATTATTTTGTTAGCTGACAAGTTTAACACCAAGTGAACAAAGAAGTTTGCAGGTATCTTGTAGAGTTTGTTTTATTTTCATACAAATGAACCTTATCAGGTAAAATGTCTTTCATTGCCATGAGTGATAACATTATCATGTAGAAAAGTCTCATTACCGTGACTTTGAAGAAATTAGGTTAGAACATTTTAGGAACGTGACCCCTCTTTGTTGAGCTATTAGCATGCTTTTACCTCTTAGTATGACTAACAGATGACTTGATTTATGCATTTATTAACTGATTTCAGATAAATCTGTGGACAATAGATCTACTTTTCGTAACCTTAATAACCATAAAAAACAGATTAGTGTGCTGTATTCATAAAAAAAATTTATGTTAAGGTATGTACATTGTGCCAGTGATTGTACATTGGGTGGCTTGATACGAGTGGATTTAAAAAGAAGGCACCAAGCCGGGGAGACTATGTAGCACCATCAAAGTTGCAGGATATTCAAACAGCGCTAAATGTCACCAAGGATGCCAATACGAGAACAAAAGCGCATAAGGCGAGCGATATCAAAGGTATCTGCCACCAAGGACTCTAATGAGGAAGACCACGAATTTGCAGCAGTCGCGGCCTTACGTTTGTGTGGTTTCTCCTCACCTCGGGGAGCTGCTAAGCCAAACTGAGAGTGACGGAGCGTAGTTCCACCCGTTGAGGGAAAGGGAGGGGGGCGGGATGGGGGTGATCAGCTGTAGTGCTTTGGCTTAGTCCTCGCTAGTGGAACTAGGCAAGCAGTATAACCCGTCCTCAACTCAAGTACATTACATCCAGCGGTCGACCCCACAGACGCATATATCAAATGAACAAATCCACAAGGACAGTGATGAGAATTCGAACTTACGCCCGGGATGATCCCAGACGCTGCATCAGGCGATTGTGCCACGACATGGTAAAAGGGCGGGCGTAAGTTGGAAACCTCGTCACGGCCCTTGTGGATTTGGTCATTTGATATATCACACTATTGTGATTTCTGTGGGTACTGAAGTAAGGGCGAAGAGGTAGAACAGCATGTTGAAAGAGCCCGAGTGCATGGGGGAATTGTGAAAAACCCTGGTTTGTGTCTCGGAGAGGCTGCAGGATCCGTGTGAGGTTAGCAGAACTTCCGGTTGCAATTCTTTTGACCATGTAGTGGCGCAATCGACTAAGGCAGCGTCTGGTATCATCCCGGGCGTAAGTTCGAATACTCATCATGGCCTATGTGGATTTGTTCATTTGATATATCACGCAATTGTGATTTCTGTGTGTACATGCTTGTTAAAAATGGGAGTCTGTACTATGGAGGATCTAGTATAAATGGATGTAGGGGCAGTAGTTAGCATTAAGAGTTATCAAATATGGGAGATCTAAAAGGCCCGGCCCCCAAGTAAAATATCCACAGTGAATATTAATTGGCTACACAATGTCAGTCTAGAGGTTGATCATAGATCTCCTACACAGGAACAATGGATACTCCTTTACTAACTTATTTATTAACCCCTTAACAACCTCCCATATACATTCACACCAATAACAATAATAATAATTACTTTACCACACTATCTTACGTTAAAAGCCTTGGTCCACATAAGCAGGAAACAAGGTTTACACTGAGAACAAGCTAGGGTAAAGTACTACTAGTGAAGCACTTGAAGCTTGGGCAGCTTAGGGGGTAGTGAGCCCACGTGGTACCTTAACACAACACAACACTAATGGGTACCCAAAACACTGGCAAATACTACCCCAAGGCCTCCACCAATCTTACAAACCCAGAGTAGGCACACTTTAAAAAACACAGGACTTAACTTAATGGTACAGGAACTTAAGGTAAGGGAAATAAGTAAGAGGGAAGGTAGAGGAGTGCAGAGCAGCTCAGAAAGGTCTTGATCCCCACGAACGCCAGTCAGAGAAGAGAGAGCGTCTCCACTCTCCTCCCTCAGTTCACTCGCTGCCAGCAGAATACTCAACTAATCGTACAGCATTCCTATCCTAAGTTTACTCAGGTTTACTTTACAAATGATTAGAAAGTATTAGTAAACATAGTTGGTGCCTATTTTATTATTTAATAATCAACCCCAAGTTCAGTCTTTAAATGCTCTTTGAGAAACAAGAATAGTCTTACGTCTGGCAGGGAAGATACAAACAAATGCACCTCGCCATGCATCCCCCTACTAAAAGGTAGTTTATTTCGCTCATTTTTGACCTCTGGTTTCCACTGAGGAACCCAAGGTCGTAACAATGCTGTTCATTCAAAATGGAAAATTTCCCAAATATATATTAATATTATAATATATTAGCACATTGTGATATATAGGCATAGGTTAGTTTAGGTTTTTAGGTTCTGTTGGCGATTATTTGTATTTGTAGTACACGGGGTGAAGCATTTACAGCGTTGTAGTTCGAACAAAATTCTTCACTTGTTCCAGAATTATTCGAACGAAATCAGTTGTAAGTCGTGTGTAAACCCTTTTTCACTCATAAACTCTGGCAAAAGTATATTTGTGCAAGTTCAGAGTTAAATTAACCTCCTTTAAGCATTTTAATAGGTTAGCTAAATCTTTCAAATGGTCCTCCCAATTATTGTGATAAATTACAATATCATCCAAGTAAGCTCTACATTATGGTATGTCTTTTAACACTAAATTCATAAGACACTGGAAAGTTGCAAGGGCATTTTTCAACCCAAAAGGCTTTACAGTGAATTCAAACAACCCACCGCAGTTATAAATGCACTCATCTCCTGTACTCTTGGTGTTAAAGGAATTTGTCAGTACCCTTTTGGCAAATCTAGTTTGGTTACAAACTTGGCTTTACCAATACTCTCTATGCAATCATCTAATGTAGGTATTGGATAATTATCATCCACAGTCAATACATTTATCTTACGGTAATCAATGACCGACCTGTGAGTTCCATCTTTCTTTGGAACTAAAATACTGGGATTACTCCAACTGCTGCTGCTAGGTCTCCCCAATCCATGTTGAAGCATGAAGTCAACTTCTTTCTGAATGAGATTCAGCTTTGCAGGGTTGATTCTATATGGGTGTGACTTGACTGGTTGGTTGTCACTCACCTCGATGTCATGGTGAATAACTGTAGTCTGGGTGGGAATATCGCCAAAGATGTCTGCCTTAGAAGTCAGCAACTGCTCCAAGTCCTGCTTCTGCTCTGATGACAAATGTTCCACCAACTTCTGGATGTTAGACAACCACTCCACACTGCTAAAATAAGGTACACGAGCATTAAGTACATTATAAAATTACATTCCCCACAATTCTCGTCCACATGGTTCACACTAAGCCCCTGATTGGTACTGATAGTTCCTTTCAGTGTTAATTTCATTCTATTTACATATACTACTTGTTCTTTTGTCTTGAGCTCAGGTGTCTGGATTACATAATTGGTGGGACTAAGTTTCTCTATCACTCTATATGGACCTTGGAACCTATGCAACAATGTTGGTAACTGTCGTGCCATTAGTACCATCACTTTATCACCTGCTTCAAAATTTCGTTGCTTTGCATTTTTATCAATTGTACTTTTATTTTGCATTAAGCCTCTTTAAGATGAATCAAAGCTTTAGCCCTGCTTTTGTTTAACTTATCTTGTAATTTATCAACATAATTTACCTGCGCAACACTTTTTGGACTTCCAACTATTTAACCTCTTAAGATGGTTATTAGACTTCTCACATCATGCTCAAAAACTAATGAATTGGGTGAACACCCTAGGGACTCCTGATAAGTATCCCTCAGTGCAATGACCATCAGTGGAAGACCATCATCCTAGTCTCTGCCAGTTTCCATGCAACTAGTTTTCAGCATTTGTTTAAGGGTTTGATGCATCCCTTCCAAAGCACCTTGGCTCTCAGGATGGTAAGTAGTGGATGTCTTATGGAGGACGGCAAACTCCCGACAAAAGTGCTGAAAACCGTGTCCCCGCGGCCTGGTCCTTGACCTGGTCTCCTTTTTGTCACACACCCCCAGGAAGCAGCCCGAAGCAGCTGTCTAACTCCCAGGTACATATTTACTGCTAGGTGAACAGGAGCATTATGATGAAAGGAACTCTATTCATTTTTGTTTCCGCCTCCACCGGGGGTCGAACCCGGAACCTCAGGACTACAAATCCAAAGCTCTGCTCACTCAGCTGTTAGACGCCCTTACCACTTTCTTTGTAGCACTTTTCACAGGAAATGCCTCAGGAAAGCGTGTAGTCTGACACATTATGGTGATGAGATACAAATTACCACTCTTGGTTCTAGGCAATGTGCCTACTACATCAACAATGATATTGGTAAAGGGTTCCTCAGCCACCACAATTGGCTGTAAAGGGACTTTTGGTATTACCTGGTTTGGTTTGCCAGTTTTTACGCATACAGGACATTCATTACAATACTGAGTGACATCCTTCTTTAATTCTGGCAAGGTAAAATACTTGCTTATTTTATTGTATGTTTTTGTAATACCCTAATGACCGCCTATTTGTGAATCATGGGCTACACTTAGCACCTTTTTTCTATAACCCCTCGGTAGGACTACTTGATTAACCACCTCCCAAGTGTGTGACACAGGTGAGCTCCTAGGTCTCCATTTCTGCATCAACACCTCGTTAGTGTAATAATAAGTCATAGTCTACGATTCTGCCTCTAGTTCAGTTACTGCCTTATTATGCAAGTCCGTCAACGTAGGATCAGTTTTTTTGCTGATAAATAAAATTTTATTTTAGTCTCATGTCTGAAGATGTGGTAACTGGACTATACTCTCCCCCTATCCCTTTTCCTAGGTGGTGTCACGGGTCTTCGCTCCCACTACACCTGCGTGCCTCTAACCACCCTGGGAGCACCCCAGTCTACCACGGGCTGAACTCCTTTCTTGCACCCCAGCCTTGCACTCGTGGCGAGTGGGGAAGCTCGACTTTTCGTCTCAGCCACAGAGACCGAAACCTGGAACACTTTGGTTGAGCTTGCCCAACATAAACAAGCTGTGTACAGGTGAATTCTTCCACCTGAAATATCCCATGGCAGCGTCCATAGACACAGCTCCTGAGGTCACCAGCTGGGTTGCCCGTACTCACGACACAACCACACCGTTTTATTGGTGTTATCAATAGTTTTTAGCATAGATTTTTGTGACAGAATGAGTAATGTGCAACAGTCAACCGTTCTAATAATCATACAAGAGATGGAGGGGA